ATTATTGAGGCTGACTAATGCTAAGTAAAAGCCTGGCAGCACCCATAAAACCACGTTTTAAATGTTCAACTTTGTGAGTTAGTGGAATGCTTCTTAATTCAATCCTTAGTAAATACAGATCACAAAAAAATAAAAGAATGGAGATTTTTATTCATATTAAACTACCCCCTTTTCAACCTTTACAAAAACTTTTGCTGAAATATGCTAGGTATCAGTGACAATATTTTCATAAGATGGTGGAACTTCTCTTATCCTCTGTGGTAGCATATGCATTTTAAAATAAAATACTATGTAAAAGATACACCATTTGACTGGTGGTTAAGTTGGTAGTGGTGGGGTGCCATCTTTGATTTTGGAGAACTCTGATTTTCTGGAACAGTGTGAATAAAGTTCCCATCCCCAGATGTCCTACACACAGTGGGCCCTGTTTTGAGCAAAGGAACCTCTCAGTAGTGGTCTTTTTTCCTCAAGTCACATACAGATCACACAGCTATTGCCAACCATTTATCATGTGATATACTTTCTTTCCCACATGTAGGGCTAAATGGAAGACTTAGGCACTTTCATACTACAAAGGACACTGCTGCCTACTATATACTGTTATAACGATCATACTATGATGAAAATATAAAACCATACACTACTATGTTAACGTTACATAACATTATATGCATAATGTACAGCTAGTGAAGGCTAAATAAACACTTCTTTTTAAGCATTGGAATAGAACTATGTGCTATAGGTCATGCTGCCTAAAAGCCTACACAGTACCTCCACTGTGTTATATGCCCAGTCTAACTTAAAAACTCAATATTTTGGATTAAACAAAGAGCAATACTTATAATAAAATCTCTACTTTTAGATGAAAGGCAAATCATTTAGGTAAAGGCACTTTAAAACTAAATGCAGCTAAATAGTCTTACACATATATGTTTACTGATAAACTTGTATCTACAAGCACTCACACGGAAACTTATGAGAATAAACATATTTTATATGTAAATAGCTACTACTAAATACTTACTTGATTTGCAGGGTTTTTTTTTTTTTAAAGAAAACAACAAAAAGGTAAAGATTAACCAAGGCCTCCTGCTATAGTCTAAACACAGGTCACGGAGGGACTACTTCCCAGCTCTGGGAAGAGCAAGGCTGAAGAAAGCCTACAGCTTGCTGGCTCTCCTTTATGAGGAGTGATGCGAACAGCTTCCCAGCAGCAGGAACCAATATCATAATTAATAATAATAATAATAATAATAATAAACTTAATGATAAGGTTTTTAAATAATAGTAGTATGTCACTTGGTAAATCAATTTTAAAAACAATTCATTATTATTCTACAGGGCTCAAGGATTTGCCTGGGTATCTATCACTTCTTTTTCCCTACCCCTTGTTGCTTTAAAAGATTTATTTCATGTAACATTCCAGGAAACAGCCTCTTCTTGATTCTTTGTTTAAACCCAGTATTTCAGCATCTGTTAGAACTGGTCTGTAGTGGTATGGTACACTATTAAGGGTTGACTTTTACTTTTATTTACATCACCCTAAAATGTCATGTATTTCAAGTACAATTTGCATTGCATGTTTATTTTTAATATTGGCAATACAATTTTAAATATCAAGATTGTTATACGAAGAAGCACCTTTGACATTTTTTTAAAAGTCAAATATTGAGCAGGGTATGTGGTATTCCCAGTAGTTGGGAAGCTGAGGGAAGATTTGCCATAAGCAAGCCAGACTGAGCTACATAGCAAGCTTAAGGCTAGCCTGGACTACACAGCCAGGCCCTGTCTGTCAAAATAAAATAACTATATTATGAAAATTAGGCAGTGCTCATTCTGAAACTCTAAACATTCATTACCTAGATAAACATGCAACTCATAACCAGTGAAGCCAACTACCATTTAACAGTCTGCAGACTGCAAAAGATAGTCATCTTACTTCTAGCCGACCAGCTCCTGTTGCACTAAGCCAATTTCTAACCATCAGTTTAAAATTAAAGTATGAAAAAGAAACAAGAAAAATTTAGAATCATTAGCAGCTTTTGTAAAAGATAAGGCCAAAGTTGAGTTTTAAAAAATGTAAAAGCTAAGTGCAGATTTTGTTACAAGTGACCTGGGCCAAGTGTGGACTGTAGCTTGCTTAAAATGTACCAGGCCCTGTACCTATCCCTAGCATCCCCACCCCTGCCAAAGAGACAGCTGCACACTGACCTGGCACACTGCTTATGGACTTTAACTATACACATAAAGAACTACAACAAACACTTCATTGAAAGAACACCATAGGATACATCTATATGGAAGAGGCTAGAAACTATTTCTGGCTAGAGTATTTACAACTATAAAAGAAGAAATGATATATTTTCATTCTAAGAGGCTAGAAAGGGTACATATGTATGGTTAAATGCTCTAATTACAAGGCTATTTACAAGTAATTCTTAAAAGGCTACTCAAACTATTACTTGAATCAAGATGACTATCAATCACGAAAGTACAGGTATTTAATCCAGAAGAACATGGTTTGAACATTTTCAGTGAAAAATGTTCACTGTTGCTTAACTAAATGATCTAATTACAAAGCATTTACAAGTCATCTCTGCTTTTCCTAACCTTGCAATCTGCAGCTTACAGATGCTTACTTGGTGAAATAAACAAAGACTTTATATAGTCCATCATACAATTACATTAGCAGCAGAAACATCACTTCTATAAACATAGGAAGAAAACTTCTAAATCACAAAAAGAAAAAAAACAATCTTCCTGCACTATTGCGAGGGAAAGGTAAGGGAACTCACTATTAGCAGTGTTTCACAACTGCAGCCATGAAATTCTCGTGTTCCATAATGTAACACAAACACACATACAAACCCAGAAGTACCCTAGAGCCTACTAATATATTCTAGTAAAATATATATACAAGAGACATAACACACAAATATTCTGAGCATACAGTTGGCTTCTAATAAAGCACTCTTTAAGAGATCACCTCATGCCCTAATTAATGCAATCTGAAACTACTTTAGGCACATAGCAACTAGGCTTCCTGTTATTACAGGTCAGTTAATGATCAGCAGTGTAAGTTATTTTCTAATGTCTGCTTATACTTTTAAGCATTTTTAATTGCATAATCAACTAGTTAGTAAAATTTATTAATCTCCAATGATAATAATTTGCATTACTAATTTTCTTCCATACCTTAAGGATACAACGTATTCAATGTTTTCTTAATCCTTTCTTCAGTGTTCAGTGGTTATGCTAGCTCTGTGAACCACTCTATTGTGGATGAACACAGTGGGATCTGCTTCACTCAAACGTTTATATAGTTGTAGTTTTTCTTTTAAATGTAGAGGAAGTCTTGGTTTAGTAAACAAGTGGAACAAAGGAGACACACTTCATGGTTAACATCTATCCCCTTCCACTTTGAAACAAGTTTTCATGTATGTAGCCCAGGTTGGCCTCAACTTTACTAGGGAGCCTAAGTTAACTTTGAAGTCCTGATCTTCTGCCTCTACCTCCCAAGTGCTGATCTGGAGGTGTGCCCATCTATACCCAGCTTTTCTACTTATTTAGATTTTTTTTTGGTCAAAACTCTTATTCTGTCTTTTGGTGAATAGACAGATGAAGACTTTAGCCTCTCATTAAGTGTAAAAGTCACTTGCTTAGAAGAGATCATTGCATTTAACAAAAACAAAGTTAAGATGGCCATGGGAGCAGATGCTGGTGTACACCCGTAGTATCAGCAACAAGGGAGGAGGAGGCCCCCTGGAATTGCCACCTGGAAGATCTCCCATATTCCAGGTGGATCTCTGAGTTCCAGGCCAGTCCACTCTACAGAGTTCCAGGCTCTCAGAACTCAGGTATTATCTTTACAGTTGCTCAACTAGTTGGCTAAAGTACATTCCCACGTGTTGTGCACAGTGTCAGGCTGTAGGTTGCTTTGGAATAATTTCTATAATAAGCTTCCACAATCTTGCTAGAATTAAGGCACTATAACATCACTGCTAGACTATATAAAGTTAATACAATCACACGAAAAAAGAGCTGGTTTATATATTCCATTTAAAAGATATAGTCCTTACTGTCCAGTTAGTTGGTCAGCAAGGCTTTCAACAGTTCAGGGGTAACACAAGGAGAAGGCTCATTTTATTTATGTATAGTGTTCAGCATAAACCAGAACAACCCTGGTAAGAGAACTGTGATGATCATTTTACTCAACTCAGCTGTCCCAGGTGACACCACTTCTGGCTGATTGGATGATTGTTCTTTAGAATGAATTATTCTGTTAGTGTTTCTTTAAAGACTTACATGAAAACTGTGACTAATTAGCTGAATTTTGAACCACCATTCACAATAAATTACACTTAAAGAATCTAAACAGGGAACTGGAACTGGACTCATTCCTCCCGAATCTGTAGATTGAATGCAAAACATTTCTTTCACATCATGGCAACTCTAACATGGACATTCAAGATGAAAACGCTCATGTCTCCAATTAACTTCAAGACCCATTTTTTCCCGTCATTTCTGCTCAGTGTTTTAATATTTTTCAATACCCACTGCTGTCCAACCAAGAACTTTCTGCATTCTGTGTGCAGCAACACTTGCTTCATCTTCTGAGTTAGACTCACTTTGGGACGGGAGGAGCATTCTGGAGAACACAGATAGTGCATGAGGAGGAGGCAGTACTTCCTACAGAAGTCCACAAATTTAATTAGTCTGACACAACGTTCAAAATAGACCCCACTGCACTTTTTGGATTTGGGCAATTGCTGGCTGAATCCAAGTATCTAAAAAGATTCCCAGGAAGATCATAGTAAGAAATTCTTCGGCGGCGGAGGCAGCGGCTCTTCGGTGCAGAGGGTGAAACTCCTCAGGCTCATAGAAAGAATAATGCGGTAGCAAGGCAGGCTACTTGCTCTGGGGTTTCTCAGCAGCAGGGCAGCTCCAGCAGCGGCATCACCCCAGGTGCTGACAGCCCCACAGACCTGCTCCCTCGCTGACTGCAGACTGTCAATGGACTGAAAGCTCGGGAAGGGGGCTGAGGAAAGCGCAAAGAGAAAAGCAAGAAGTGGAAGGAAATCCTGAAGTTTCCTCACATCAGCCAGTGTGAAGACCTCCAAAGGACCATAGACAGAGATTACTATAGTCTATGTGACAAGCAACCAATTGGGAGACTGCTTTTTCGACAGTTCTGTGAAACCAGGCCTGGGCTGGAGTGCTACATTCAGTTCCTGGATTTAGTGGCAGAATATGAAGTTATTCCAGATGAAAACCTTGTGGCAAAGGGGAGGGAAATAATGACCAAGTACCTCACTCCAAAGTCCCCAGTCTTCATTGCCCAAATTGGACAGGACCTGGTCTCCCAGACAGAGAAGAAGCTCCTGCAGAGCCCCTGCAAAGAACACTTCTCTGCTTGTGCTCAGTCTGTCCATGACTACTTGAAAGGAGATCCTTTCCATGAGTACCTGAACAGCATGTATTTTGACCGCTTTCTGCAGTGGAAATGGTTAGAAAGACAACCAGTGACCAAAAACACTTTCCGGCAGTACCAAGTGCTGGGCAAAGGGGGCTTTGGAGAGGTCTGTGCCTGCCAGGTTCGGGCCACTGGTAAAATGTATGCTTGCAAACGCTTAGAGAAGAAGAGGATCAAAAAGAGGAAAGGAGAGCCCATGGCACTCAATGAAAAGCAGATTCTTGAGAAGGTCAACAGCCAGTTTGTGGGCAACCTGGCCTATGCCTATGAGACGAAAGATGCGCTATGCCTGGTTCTGACAATGATGAATGGGGGTGACCTAAAGTTTCACATCTACAACATGGGGAATCCTGGCTTTGAGGAAGAGCGAGCCTTGTTTTATGTAGCTGAGATCCTCTGTGGCCTAGAAGACTTACACCATGAAAACACTGTCTATAGAGATCTAAAACCCGAAATCATCTTGCTGGATGATTATGGCCACATCAGGATTTCAGACCTGGGACCGGCTGTGAAGATCCCCGAGGGAGACCTTATCCGTGGCCGAGTAGGCACTGTTGGCTACATAGCCCCAGAAGTTCTGAACAACCAGCGATATGGCCTGAGCCCTGACTACTGGGGCCTGGGCTGCCGAATCTATGAGATGATCAAGGGCCAGTCACCATTTCGAGGCAGCAAGGAGAAGGTGAAGCAGAAAGAGGTGAATCGTCGGGTGCTGGAGACTGAGGAGGTATATTCCTCGAAGTTCTCTGAAAAGACCAAGTCCATCTGCAACATGCTGCTCACCAAAGACTCGAAGCAGAGGCTGGGCTGCCAGGAGGAGGGGGCTTCGGAGGTCAAGAGGCACCCCTTCTTTGGGAACAAGAACTTTAAGTGCCTGGAGGCTGGGATGTTGGACCCTCCCTTTGTTCCAGATACCCGGGCTGTGTACTGCAAGGATGTACTGGACATTGAACAGTTCTCCACTGTGAAAGGTGTCAACCTGGACCATACAGATGATGACTTCTACTCGATGTTCTCCACAGGCTCTGTGCCAATCCCATGGCAAAATGAGATGATAGGAACAGAATGTTTCAAGGAGCTGAATGTGTTCAGACCTAAAGGTACCCTCTCACCAGACCTGAACAGAAGTCAGCCTCCAGAGCCGCCAAAGAAAGGGCTATTCCACAGACTTTTCAGGCGTCAGCATCAAAACAATTCCCAGAGTTCACCTACTCCTAAGACCAGTTGTAACCACCGCATAAATTCAAACCACATCAATTCAAACTCCACTGGAAGCAGCTAGTTTCAGCTCTGGCCTTGAAGTCAAAAGTGGAACCAGCTCAGAGCCTTCTACTTGGAAGCAGAACTTGTAGCCAGGGGAGCATCCACTGTGGCTTGGAGGCCAGAAAAGCTCCACTGGGAACCAGGATAGGATACTGTTCCCCCAGTAACAAACCTCCGAGTTTCTCAAAGAAATTTCCACTCAGGTCTGTTTTCCAAGGTGGCCCCAAGCTGGGATGGACTAGAATTTTCCTTGTCGAACATTGCAATAGAAACCCAATGGGATATGACAGCTTGCACGGATTTTAATAGCATCCTAACTAGAACTGAATTTTCTCTTAATTATTTTTAAAGGAAAGTTTTGTAAATTTCTCTATTGTCTCTGTTTACATTTTGTATATTTGTATTTAAATGAAAGTCAGACTTCAAAAAAAAAAAAAAGAAAGAAAGAAATTCTTTGGATCTTAATGGTCCTTGCAGCTAATTCCAGAAGAGTTGGGGGGGGGGAGGTGTCATATTTTAAATCTCTAACAAAACGAACAACCAATGGGTTTCCTCGTAAACTCAACTCTTCCAGGTAAATACGATTAAGGCAGGTATGTCAGCAAGTTATTGTGCAGACTGAGGGATCAAAGCGAATGCAACAGTGAAAGCTGAGAAGGCACACGTTGGATCGTGTTCTCACACAACACCAAGTAATTCAGAGAAGGCAGATTTGCTAATTCTGGCCGGATTTCTTTAATGAAGTTTCCTCCAAGGTATAAAATTCTAAACTCTTGATCTCGGTGGGGATGCTCTGAAGCTGATTGCCTCCCAGGTTGAGTGGCTGAAGCTTGCGCAGCTCCAGCGGAGAGGCGGGCAGCTCCTGGAAGCAGTTGCCGCTGAGAGGTTGAGCACCTGGAGGCTGCGGCCTGCGACCGGGCCAGGTCCTTGGGCAGTGAGCCCAGGCCGCCACCCGGCCAGTTGTTCCTGGCATCAGCAGCTCGGGTCCCAGCGCGCCAAGAGCGCGTTGCGGGAGGTGCGGGAAGCTGCTGTCCTGCGCCCTCGGCAGTGGCTTCAGACGGTTGTATTACCATGCAGCAGCCGCAGCAGAGCCTTCTGCACGCCATGCACTTCGTCTGCACGCCTCCAGCTCCAACTCCAACGCCTTGATCGACTTGCTGAGGCAGGACCAGTTGAGTTCAGCCTCCCAGAGCTTGGGCTCCTTCATCCCGCCTTATCCCAGGCTGCGAGCAGAGGCGGCGCGACCCAGAATCTGAAGTGAGCGCAGCTTCTGCAGTCTCAAACAATTTTTAATATTTATTTTTATTCTTTAATCCTTTTTTTACAGTCCAGACTTCATCCCCTCCTGGTCTTCCCCTGACCCCGACCTCTCCCGATCCCATACCCGCCCTGTCCCCACCTCCCTACCCCCACCCCACCGGACCTCCCCATTCCCTGGGGCTTCAAGTCTCTTGAGAGTTAGGTGCATCTTCTCTCACTGAACCCAGACCCGACAGTCCTCTGCTGTATATGTATTGGTGGCCTCATATCAGCTGGTGTATACTGCTTGGTTGGTGGCTCAGTGTCTGAGAGATCACAGGGTCCAGGCTAGTTGAGACTACTGGTCTTCCTGTGGGGCTGTCCCTCTTCCTCAGCTTCTTCCAGCCTTTCCTCAATTCAACCACAGGGGTCCCTTGCTTCTGTTCATTTGTTGGGTGCTAGTATCTACATCTGACTCTTTCAGCTGCTTGTTAGACCTCTCAGAGGACAACCATGCTAGGCTCCTGTCTGTAAGCACGTCACATCATCAGTAACAGTGTCAGGCCTTGGATCCTCCCTTGAGATGGATCCAAATTTGGGCCTGTCACTGGACCTCCTTTTCCTCAGGCTCTTCTCCATTTTTGTCCCTGTAGTTCCTTCAGATAGGAAGAATTCTGGGTCAGAGCTTTTGATTGTGGGATGGCAACCCCATCCCTCCACTTGATGTCCTGTCCTGTCCCTCCACCAAAGGTGGACTCAACAAGTTACCCCTTCCCACTGTAGAATACTTCATCCAAGATCCCGCCCTTTGAGTCCTGAGAGTATCTCACCTTCTAGGTCTCATTCTAGAGGGTCCCCCTACCTCTTACCTCCTGAGGTTGCCTGTTTCCATTCTTTCTGCTGGCTCTCAGGGCTTCAGTCTTGTTCCACTCCCTCAATACCTGATCATGTTACCCCTTCCCCTTCCTGTCTCCTTTCCCACCCAGGTCCCTCTCTTCCTCTGCCCCCCTCAAAGTGATTGGTTTCTTCTCCCACCCAAGTGGGACTAAGGCATCCTTACTTGAGCCCTTCAGCTTGTTGACCTTTTTGAGTTCTGTGGACTGTATCTTGGGTATTCTGTACTCTTTTTGGCTAATATCCACTGATTAGTGAGTACATACTATGCATATTCTTTTGGGTCTGAGTTACCTCACTCAGGATGATATTTTCTAGTGTCACCCATTTGGCTGCAAAACTCATGATGTCCTCGTTCTTAATAGCTGAGTAGTATTCCATTATGTTAATAAACCACATTTTCTGTATCTATTTTTCTGTCATGAGAAATCTGTTTTTTTCCCAGCATCTGGCTATTACAAATAAGGCTGCCATGAACATAGTGGAACATATGCCCTTGTGGCATGGTGGGCAACTTTTGAGTATATTCCCAAGAGTAGCATTACTGGATCTTCAGGTAGATCAATTTCCAAATTTCTGAGGGACCTACAGATTGATTTCCAGAGTGGTTGTACCAGTTTGCAATCCCACCAGCAGTGGAGGAGTGTTCCACTTTCTCTACATCCTCGCCAACATGTGCTGTCACGTGAGTTTTTGTTCTTAGCCATTCTGATTGGTGTAAGATGGAATCTCAGGATTGTTTCAACTTGCATTTTTCTGATCACTAAGGACTTTGAACATTTCTTTATTTGTTTCTCAGCCATTTGAGATTCCTCTGGTGTGAATTCTCGGTTTAGTTCTATACCCCAATTTTTTGATTGGGTTGTTTGATTTTTTGATGTTTAGCTTCTTGAATTCTTTATATATTTTGGATATTAGCCCTCTATTGGCATTTCGTATCTCAGTCTTCTTCCTGCCAGTTCTTGAGGCAGAGGCAGCTGCTGTTCCTGTTTTGTCCTAGGACACTCTATCCTGGAAAACATGGATTCGATTTGGTGTCTTGTCTGAGCTTCCTTGTATGCCTGCTCTGGGCTGACATCTACTGGTTCACTTTGGAATCAGAGTCTAGAAGTTCATGTTCACAAGTGTTACATCCTTACTTTGGTTTATGGACTTGACCTTAGTTTTCATTCCACTTACTGTGTGATCTGGTGCATGAAATATGTATTATAGTAAGATTTGAGAGCTACCAGGCTGAAAGATTCCTTGGTCTAAAAGCAATGAGAGAATTGTCTTTGCAATCATTTTGCAAAGCAGTTCTCTGATTTGTTTCCTAATCATTTTTTTTCCAGTTCTTGGAATGGAAACCTGGGGCTAAATCATCTTAAACAAACACTCCATTCCACTGCTAAGTTATAAATACATACCCATTTCAACAGAAAACAAATGGTGTGTGTGTGTATAAATATACGTGTGTGTGTGTGTGTGTGTGTGTTTATATTTGAGTGCACTTGTTTGTTTCTCTCTGAATGTGTAGCAGTCATGGGTAGACTACATGCATGTTTCTTTATTGCTCTCCATCTTAATTTTCAAGACCATGTCTCTTGATGAACCTAGGGTCTTTTGTTTGAGGTAGGATAGCCTACCTGGACAGCAAGTTCAGAGTTCTGTCTATCTCCACTCTCCAACTGCTGGTATTACTTTCTCATGCCATCATGCCTACCTTTTTCTGTGGGTGCCAAAAATCCAAATACAAGTTCTCAAGTTGACATATAAAGCCTTTTCCCAACTTCTATGCCAATTGGTATTTATTTATTTTGATTTATTTTCAATAGTGTTTTATTATCCAGGGTGAGGCTGATCTTGAACACCAAGTAGCACTTGAACTTCCAATCCTCCTAGGAAAGGAGCCACCTCAGTAAGCATCAGGAAAGTAAATGTGAAAGATGGGAGCAGGCAGGTCATAGACACAATGCATGTGAAAATACTTTTCTTAGAGAGAAAAATGAATGAAACAATATTTTAGAATGAACAAGCAGCTCACACGAAGGGAGGGGCCATAGGGTTGTAAATTGGCCCAAGCAGCCCTAAGTAATAAGGTGGTACATGCCTTTAATCCTAGCACTCAGGAGGCAGAGGCAGGTGAATTTCTGAGTTTGAAGCCAGCATAGTCTACAGAGTGAGATTCAGGAAAGCCTGTGCTACACAGAGAAACCCTGTCTGGAAAAAGTAGCTCACATTGCCTACCACTTTCTAGGCTTCTCCTGAATTCTAGTCTCATGTCCTCCCATTAGCATTTTGTAAGAGTAGTAGGATGTAACAGTTTTAATATCTTGGTGGGATGGAGATAATATTGGAAGCAAGAGTCAGACACTTTAAAGGGATCAAACTCCGTTTTTCTGACCAACCCCTCTCCATCTGACCCTTCTTCAACTTACCCTACCCTATGCTTCAACACTACTGTGGGGGATTGAGCCATGAATGCTCTGGTTACTTATTACAGAGAGAGTGGTATTTTAGTGTTTCAGAGACAGAAGTGCCCAAGAGTTGGTTCTCTAGGGCTGATGCAGAAGACCTCAATTTTTATTGGCTGGATAGTTTTGAGGTGCCAGACATCCTTTCAGTAAAAGTGTGCCTATTGAATGGTGGGTGAGCCTATTAAAAATGTGACTGGGAAATAATTAAGGTTACTTTCAATTACTAGAGAAAATAATTACTAGGAAAAAATCAGTCAAAAAATCCAAAACAGAACAACAGCAATAAAAACTCCAGACTTCTGCAGATCTTTTCATATGTGTTAGCAAGGCTGTTGTCTACCTTGTCACGTTTGTCCATTGCAAAATGTGCTCATGGAGAAAAGCCATTAGATCTTTAAGAGTCTGAGGAACTTCTATTTATTAAACTCAAGGTCAGAGCTTGGTCAGTCTGTCTCTTCCATACATTTTAATTATATTTTCTTTCCCTCAAATCTTCCTACA